TGAATATGTTGAATGAAGTAGAAAAATGGAAGTCCTTGAGGCACCATAGACACCACCAATTAAGTGACAGTTGCATGCAACAGCATCAATGTCAATTACCTCCAGTGTGGCAGCCTGGCTAACTTACTCCAGTTCTACCACCCACATCCCATATCCCGATCTGGGTCATCCCAATAGAAACAAACCAGTTGACAAGGGTGCACTAGTATTCCTGCTCCCCAAATGTGAAGGAAAACAGGAGCAGGGTATGTCCAATGACTGTACCCTTTACGGTTTCTCTGCCAACATGAACGAGGACTATATCACACTGGATGTGCTTGCTTGTGATACATCCCATCTGCAGCTCAATGGAATATGGTGGAATGGGATACAAGTAGGAATAATTCAATTATAGTATAAATACAGCACCTACAATAGAGCTCATTGCAAGCTTGTTGTAACATGAGCTCACTGAATGTGATATTGATTGGCTCATTTCTTTGCCATTCCGTATCCATGACTACAGCCTTTATGTCTTTTGTGATTCATCTGACATTTATCTAACATTCAACTCAGATCTTGTGGTACTTCATCTTTATTCACCTACCACTTTTTTTATCAATTCCTGTGCTCTCGTTTTATAAAAACACAGGAAGATTGTGCTATCCAATAATATTATTATTTCCCTACTTTCACTCAAATTTACCTCAGATTTTGCAGGTTGCCACTATAGTCTCTTGTTGCCATGTTAGCCCTTGATCTCACTCTTGTCTCGTCCCATGTCATTCTTATTTTGTTAAACATCCCAGCTGGGTCACACCTTGTGGCAAACCTCACGCAATCTCACCATCACATCCTGCTGGGCATGGTTGAACCCACTTGCACATATCATGTTGCAACTGCTTACAGAGTGTTGAGTTTCATTAGTTCAACTTCACCCTCTTTATAAAATTGAGCCTCCCTGTCTGTCTGAAGCTTTATCTCCTTTTGTAACTTTTGTAAACCTCTCTCACATGTCTGTGGTCAGCTGAGAGGCATTACTTATTTATAAAGTGGGGGCTGGTGCAAAGCACTGGCCACCACTTGTGTGCTCTCAGATGCAGTATATGTGTATCACCATATCTGCTGACGTTTTCGTGTGCATAAGTAGAGAGCATGAAGTGAGATCAACTCGGTGTGACATAGAACTGAGATATCTACTAGTACCAGCAGCAGAGGCAAGGCATAGTGACACTTTTGTGGAGGTCACTGCTCACTTAACCCAAGTCTGGGGTTCCAGCCTGCTTGAAATGATCAACCTGTTGATCAAAGAATCTTGCCGGGTCAGGGAGAACACAGCCACAGTGGTGACCTTATATGAATTACATTGTGGATAAGGGTCATGGGCCTGATGAGGAGAGGTAAGATGATGCAAATTTTCCAGGATCAGTGACTTGTTTGCTGGGGTTGAATGGTGCAAAAAAAAAAATACAAAGGCAAAAGCCGTAGTATCCCACTTGTCTGGATCGAACAGACAACACCCAGATGTTTATTTAAAACAGACGGATCCTAGTCCCTGGATGCACCAACAGCTGACACAGAAGCGTACACAAAGTACATGACCGGTTGCAAACCGATCAGGGTTCGAACCACCGGATACGACGCCATTCAGGATTAGGAAACCCGAACATTGGGTCTCCTAAGTCCTCCGACGCCACGGAAACAGACACAGAGGAGTCCAGGAGCATCAGCATTAACACTCCTTAACGCTGTGGTGAACTGGCATAACATAAATGCACGGCATCTAGGGCTAATTTTGCAATTTCCTATGACCAGTATTTATACAACGGGAAGCAACTAGCACTTCTGTTGTTACTAGCATCCTAGCTAGTATGCAGACCACTTGTTAGGTGATATAAAGGAGAGTCAGAGCGAGCCCTAACTGCTGACTGTAGCACGAGGCTACACTAGTGTGGTGCACTAGCTGCTAGTTTAGTGTACAAACAACCAGGGATTAAACCGCTGCCTATACATTCATGAGACATGACCTAGGAGACTCTAGTAGTCCAGAGATGGCTTGCGAAGGAGCTATCAATGGTCTAGCAGACAGATATCTCAAACCTAGTAGTATAAAAGGGAGTGCAGGACAGACTAGGGTCGAAGAACATTACACCCAGACTTTGGACGAAGCTGGTGCTAGTGGACTCAGGCTGCTAGTGGAGGTTGATACCAAACTTCACTTGTAGTAGTCTTTATATTGGAATTCAGGGTTTCATGTTGTTGGTCCTAGACCTCCACATATAAAATAAGGGTGTCCTCTTCGAGACCCAGCTGCAGTTTGTGCTAGTGACTTTGCCTTCACCCCGACAAGACGGAAGCTCTGTCATAGTGTGTTGGACCGCTTGCTAGGTGGATTGTGTGTTGACTTGAGCCCACTAAGAAGAAGACGGATTAGGTGCCCCCACCTCTAGTTTGGCTATAACCTGTCAGTTACTTCGCCTTTGCCCCGATATAGATGGAAGCTCTGTCATAGTGTGTTGGGTCACTAGCTGGATGTTTGTAGTGAGCTAGTGCCGATAAAAGCGGAAAGGTTCCTGTTCTTGGTTAAGGAATAGGTCAGCAGTCAAGGAGAGTCTTGCCGTTTGAGACTTGGAGTTATTTGGAGTTAGCCTCAGTAGTCCTTAGGTTGCCTAAGGCGAGGATTTTCACAAACCTACAAACCTCTGCCCTGGTGTTCTCGACCTAGCGGTCCAGCCATATTGTATCCACCCCATATAAACACACCCCGGACCATCCCTAGGTTCCTAGCAGTGTTGTTGTTGGCAGTTGCATATTGCTAGTACGTTGTAGAGTGTGTTGTTAGAAGCCTATAAATCCAGCTTGTGTTTGTTCAAGCCTGCTGATCGCATACTACGGCCCGGACCCAAACTCACAAAGAGAAGGACTTGGATCTTTGGAGGTAGATTGGTTGTGGTTGGTTGTTTTGGGTGTTAGTTCACAATTCCTATCAATTAGCTATTCCTAGTCATATAATAAGTGCACTTTTTCAGCAGTACAGGAACTGATCGCGATTGACCACAATCGCTTTAATTTATTAGAAGCCTATATAAGCTCGGTAGAATCTTCATGTACAGTAGATTCTACCTCATCTAATAGAGAGGTCGCAGCGAGCCACCAGGAGCCACCCGTTGGCTCTGATGGCATGCGGTGCAGAGTGGGTACTGCCGGGCCAGTGGCTCTATTGTGCATGTTTTCATTGTGTTCTGTACACTACTCTCACCTTGTCTCTCATGCAGCAAGGTCCCCTGGAATCTCAAATACACTTTACAACTCTGCTCAAAGTCATTTCCACTCCTCAGAAGGGCATAGAATGTCTGTACTCGTCTCTTTTGCTTGCCTAGACCAAGTCTGGTCGTTAGATGGATGAAGCTGAAGAAAAACAGGTTGTTTGACGTCATACCTTTAGCCACCAGCGGAGCCACCAAATGCGGTAGCCACTCCGCACTGCATGCCGTTAGAGCCACTGGGTGGCTCCCAGTGGCTCTGATGGCTCACCGCAACCTCTCTAATCTCAGGCTTCTACCTTGGCTTGACATAGACACTGTCTCCACCCTGCCCTGCTTCCTCCACATTGTACTACAGGTTGTATACCTGAGTGGATACCACACCCTGTTCGACTCATTCCGGGTTCCACCTCACATCCTGACCTACAACATACAGTCTCCTAGAGAGGACACCATACAGTTGGTCCTACTGCTCAGGGAATACACAAGCTATTAGCGTCTATCAGGTTTATCTTGGTTGGGGTTCTTGCCGGGTTACCTGCTATTTAGCTGACCCAGAGGCCGTTGCTGACAATTATAGACTTTAACTTGGCTCAATGAGCCCAACAAGCTCGTGTTTGGAACCCAAAGAGGCTCAGAGGATGGTTAGGGTGTTCAGCTGTACTACTTACAAATCTCACCGTCGCACTATGAGGGAAGGTTGGAGGTAATATACTAGGCAGGGTGTCAAGTCAAGTTAATGCATATTGTTGTGAGAGTGTATATATGAGAGAGAGGGAGAGAGAAAGGATAAAAAGAGAAAGGATAAATAGAAAGGTAAGAGAAAGGGGGGGAGGGAGGGCCATGACATGTACCCTAGACGGCGTAGCACAGGAAGCGGTCTGTGTCCCAGATGAAGGAGAGGCCGGTCTTGTGGTCAGACTTCACGGCAAGGAGGCAGCGCAGGGAGAGGCAGGCAGTGCCGAGTCGCATAATGAGGTGCAGGTGTTGCTGTCAGAACCAGGGGCACGCAAGGAGGTAGTGTGTGACTGTCTCGGGCACCAAGCAGAGGGGGCATTCAGGGGATAGGGCTAGGTGGAAGCGGTAGAGAAAGGCATTCAGCCCAACGTGGGCCATGCACAACTGTGTCAAGACACTGCACTGCATGCGGCTCAGATCGGTGTACATCCACGCCACCAAACCGATGCGGCAACAATATGAGGTTTTGCGTCACATCCACCAGCCTGCCAAATGTGTAATTGCACGTGGTGTTTGTTACATTTAATCGACCCCGGTCCACAAACCACCTGGTTGATGTTCCAAGGAGTGCAAAATGTTTCATGATCCCCGTTCTTCGCACATTGTGGCAGTTGAGCGCAGAACAGAAAAGGCCGATCGGCCTTTTCTGTCGTTCCAGCATTACTTCGGGGGCGCCCGCTTGCGTTGGGCCTGCCCGCTCCTCGTGTCGGGCGGGACCTGCCGCTGGCTGCGTCGGGCTTTCCTAGTGGTTCGGTGCGTGGGGTTATTTCATCGTCAACTTATTATTTAGACAGAAGTGATAACCAACTACACCATAGAACCGTTTGAATTTCCAACGCAGGTATGTTCTATTCATGGATACCTCACTCTCGGTAGGTAGAATTCCACGACCTCCACATCTACACATCTTGGATCGTGTTCACCCAACCTTGGATCCATCCCCTGCACCGGCGGACCTGGTTGCAGATTGTCAGATCAATTTACGGAAGAGATGAGGCAAAAAGGCAGGGAGCCCCGCGATCCGACTTGTCTGGTTCGAACAGACGACCCTCAGATAGGAGTTTCCAGCCAATTACAGTCTGATGCTCTTCCAACTGAGCTAAAGTCGGAGATGAGAAGGCTAGGAAAGGTTCGGTGGTGGAGGGGGAAATAATCCGAAGTGGAAAATTTGAAAAGAAGTTGAAAAGAACTCCGAAAGAAAATCAATAAAAAGCTGTTGAAGAAACGGGATTTCGATATCGATCATGTGCTGAGACTCGGCACGGTCTACTAAATGAGCTAAATAATACTTCTGGAGGAAGGTAGATGCCCTGGGGGATGGCATATATTTGTGTACAGAAGCAGGAGACTAAAGCACTGACATATGGACGGGCAAAGAAAGAGGGATCCAAATTGGTAACAGATTCGAAGCCCCGAGAGCATTTTCTAAATCGGAACGCGACTAAGCGGACGCCGGTTCACTTGCGGTTTACGCAAAATGTTTGAGTTGAGCGTTGGTTGAATAACCGATCGCGATCGGCACCGATCAACCGATTAGAGCCAAACGCGGCGCTGTAGGATACGTAAGGGTCGATACCATGACCATATAGATCGACGCGCGATGAATGGGCGGCGATTCACTAAAATAGCCAAACCACCCACCCGAGACCGAATTATTATCGAACGAGATCGGCAGTCGTCTTTTATTTTTAGTTCCATCTCTCAGTCCACCGTAATGAAGATCGAGTTTCGAGTCCTGAATTACTACGAACCGGGCTACAACTTCGGACAAGAAGGAAGGGCAATAAAGGCTGCGATTGGGCCCACTGAGATTTTGGCGCCATCGATTTCTGCTGTCACGTAGCTAGTAGCGTTTTGTGTCAAATTGGCGGTCCAGAACGCGTAAGGGGTGTTCGTTGCTGCTCCTGGCTCAACAGGGGAGAAGGAGTAGCGTTCAACGAGGAACCCATGTCCCGTCGCGTCTTTAACCTCATCCTCGGTGTACATGCGGGTTACATTCACGCCTCGGCGCACCTGCGCCATGTCAGATCAACACTGCAACATTTAGACATAAAAATTCAAGGCGGACTGACTGCGACATCGAATTTTGCAGCAGGGGGACTAGTGGAAGTCGGCAAGAGGTCGTGGAAAAGACAAGTGCGTCTTGAACGGCAAACCCGACGCTACCCTGGTCCTCCAGCTTGCCGTCGAGGGTGAATTGCATGTTCGTGATCCCAGCTGTGGCATCCAGCGACAGGAACTCCACGTCTTCCGTTGGCCCGAGGTCATACCAAGTCATAAAATTGCCGGGAGTTCTCTCTTGCGATGGAAGCAGGGTGAGATTGTGGACCCCTCCGATATGATCATCCCAGATAATCTGCACTACCCGATCGGGGTTCTCGGTCAAATTCCAGAACTGTGTGAGCAAGGGAAGTTAGTCGGTAAGTCATATCGTAATGTACTTTCCTCCGTACCCGGATTAAACCAGCGAATTGAAGGATGTCACCGTCTATGGTCAACGGCTGGAGTTCGGGCTTGACGGGCAATAGTGTGATCACTTCAGTCAGCTGGACACCGCTGGGCACCGTGTCGATCATGCGTGCAAAGAGATCAGCGCAGGTCGACGCAAAGTGTTGAGACGATTTGGCGAAACTGAACGGTCCTCAGCGAGGAATGACTGGGGACGGAGGAAAACTCACGAGAGCATTGTAACATTACCATCGCTGCTAAAAATCCGCTGGTCTGAATTTGTGGTGGCGTTGGTACCGACAACCAACGGGTTCAGAGTAGTGCCATTGATATATTCCGTTGCGCTGCACAGAATTCCTAAGGTTGCGATTTGCGTCAAAAGCACAGACGCACATGTTGTTGTCAAAGCTCGTGCTAGTAGAATCAAAGTGCGCTACCGTTTCAACATTGTGCGGGTCGTTCAATTCCGGCACGATATCTGGGAATGGATCGTGCTGGACGCCACCAAAAGTGTGTCTGGAAACGAGGACTCAGCGCTGGGGATGGTTCTTTGTGAGGTACATACCCGCATGCGACGAGCCCGATCATCTCTTCCTTTGTGAATCCCTGCCTTGCGAAGGAGGCTATATGGGAATCTAGGTCCTGCTGAGGCTCGGGAACTCCGGGTATATTGGGTTCCTCGGCGTCAATACGTCCACCCCGGAAGGCAATCTGGGGGCCCCCACTTGAAGTGCGTTGTAAGCAGACAGGCAGACGAGGTGGAGCCGTAAAACTGACCACTTTTCAATCGCCAGCACCAGCCCGAGTGCAAGGAGATCTGCGACTGCAACGGACATGATGAGACAGGTATCTGCCCGAAAGAAGGTAACACACCGGAAACGTCATGACTGCTCATTTGTGTTAACACACTCAAGGTGTTACTGAACCCGTTCCCGGCAGTCTTTTAAGACGATTTCGGCATGCATACGACACTCAGTCCGAAGCACATCTGATGCTCCTCTAAGTGGCTACATCTAATTCTCCTCCAACTGCGCTAAACTAGGTGACAGGTGGGCGGCACGAGAGCGAAGGAAAAAGGGAGTTGGATGTTTAGCAGAAATCAACCGATGGAAGACATGTGCATACACTATGTTTGTATAAGGTGTTTTCCGCATAGCAAATTCTTCACCATGCAGCTGCCGGGTGGAGATGGCGAAGGTAGATGAACCCAAGATGAACCAGCATTGTGTGGTACGGCGACTGCCGAGTAATGAATGATGAACCGTGACAGCGTGTGACGGGATGTCACCTCCTTTGCCTTCATCATGCCATCATCATCAGCAATCCCTGGTTTTTGCCGTATTTGCCGTATTTGCTGTATTTCCCAGGCTGTCTATGTAGATCTACGTATTTACCCGTATTTCAGGCCATCCTACGTATTTGTCTGTATTACAGGCCATCCTACATAGTAGCCTGTATTACAGGCCATCCTACGTAGTAGCTTGTATTACAGGCCATCCTACATAGTAGTCTGTATTACAGGCCATCCTATGTAGTTGCCTGTATGTCAGGCCTACCTCCGTAGTTTTCCATATTTTGAACCAATCTATCCTTCACTTTCAGATGCATAACCAAGGCAATGCATTCATTAAAGATACACAGTTGTGTACAATAACATTGAGATATGAATGGAGAACACGGTAAGGTAATATAGGCTCTACAATGCAGAGGTAGGTGATTGAAAGCTCTCCTTCTTCATCTCCTTCGTGCTCACACTTGTCCTCGTCCTCAAGCTCACGCAGCAGCTGCGGCTGTAAGATCAATGCAACCAAGCACCTGCAAAGTCGTATGGATGACAGAGGTCAGACAGAAACAGGGCAGTCGTGGGAGTGGAGTGGGATACTGTGTCGATGGGCATGCAGGTGAAGCGGAGTAGCACCGTGACCGGTGCTGGCATGAAGCAGCTGAGTGGTGTTTGAGGAAATGGGATCAGACGGCAGTACAGACGGGGGATGTGAGATGCAGGGGATGACAAGGAGGGCATTGGTGACGTGCGAGTGCGGAGAGAGCATGCCTGTAGGTGTGATGAGTGGAGGGGAGAGTGGGAGAGGGTGCAGCACTCCACAACAATGAGGCATGTGTTGGGTCGGCTGAAGAGAGGGAAGAAGGGATAACGGGACGACTTACCGAGCATAGTGAGTTGTGTGCACAGTGAGGCGAGGATTCCCCGGTCGATCCATGCTGCCTTAGTGTGCAGCAACCTGGCATCGATTGTATGAGCATTGTCAGGTGTCAGGGGCACAAGGGATGAGGTTGTGGGGCAGGACAGGTGCATGGCAAGAACACAGCAGCGCGACGGGATGGGACAGGTATGGCAGCACACGGGAGGACACGGAAGCAGTGTGGACACGGGGTCGAACGGGCGTGCGGGAAGAGTGCAGGGCTGAGGTGGATGCAGGATGGGACGGGAGGGGAAGCACAGAGGGTGCGGACAACACAGCGGGAGCGGGGAAGGGGAAGCGTCGAATGGTGAGCTCCAACGATGGACAAGGACAAGCTGTCGTGGGATGGCTGTGGCACGGACTCCGAGCTTGCAAGGTGGGGATCCACGCAGGCGAGAGCCTCTGGTGTAGGGTGTGTATGCGATATGAGATCGGGTGTGTGCCTTCACACTCCCCATACTCTTCGCACACAGGGGTGGCACCACCGGCGGGGGCAGCGCCTCCACCTCCTCCACCAGAGGGAACCTGTTACGAAAATTAATACACCTGAGTCGAAACTCCGGTTCCGTGAACTTACCGAGGCAAGTTTGCTAGATCCCTCAGCGATCAGCTGGAGACCATAGATGAGTCGCATAACAAGACGGCAGTGGCTGGGAGCCTACCTCATCAATGGATTTTCCTTTGAGCTCAGAGATGAGCTTGTCGAGACACTCGTCATCGGTCTCAATGCCGACAGTGCCAATGAGTTTCTTGATGTCCGCAGCAGAGGGAGAGGTCTTTCCACCGATACCAATTTGGAGAAGGTAGGTAGCAAGATAACGCATCTTCGGCCAGAGTAAACGGATTGTCGAAGAGAAAACACCAACGCGCTCACTTTTTCAAGTTGTTAGATGGTGAAAGGGTTAGACTGAGTTACGGCAGCCACAAAAGTACAGCACGTGCATGCACCTAATGCCCCCTCTGCGACCACACATCCATCCCCAGCAACAGTGGCATCACCGCCGTCATCCGCGCCCGATACCCCTGCTCAACACTCAACCCCCACCTGTCCCCGATCCCTGCTCCCGCTCTTTGTGCAGCTCGTCTCGCCGTTGTACAGCGAATCATGCGCTGAATCCCCCTCTCCCACCTCTGCAGCATCCAAAACCTGCATCATGTCCGCCAAATTCGCGTCGTTCTCCACGAGCGCTTTGTGGTACCCACTCAGCCCCAACCACATCTTCACCGTCAGCTCCAATGTCCCCACCCTTTCCGCGCCCTCTCCCGGCTGCTCCACCTTCACTCTGGCGCACTCAAGCGCCCCATGCCCGCTACGCCACACCGGCACCTGTACCATCGCCTCCTCCTCATCCGCCTCATCCTTCAGCCACAGTGTGCCAAATGCTGGCGTGTGGTCCGGCCCCAGCGAGTTCTTCCGGAACTCGACCAGGAGACACTTGCCGAAACACCGCTTCACTGCG